TTCTAGCACTGTGCTTCCATAAAGGTTTAAGCCTAGGCTTAAACCTTTATGGAAGCACAGTGCTAGAATTGGCTTTGGATGTAGAATCTGGAAAAAACATAGTGACAGCTGAAAAGTTGATGCTGGAAGAAAAAGACAGAAATGATTTTTGTGTCAGTTTATGCACTTTGTGACACCTTCACAGTAATTTGCCATTTTCTCCCTGAAAATTAGGTCACATCAAAAAAGTAAGATCATATTCGTGATCATCAGCTCCTGGTGACTCAGATTACGTGTCTTAAAACGAAAAAGAAACTTTTGGAGCTTTTGCATTAGCGGCACCTTACCAACACGCACATATTATGATCATTTTTTGCCATTTTGAAATGGGGAAAAAACTGTCATTGGTAAAGCGTAATGTCAAACGCAAACGCAAACAACAAACGCGCTCAAAAAATATGTCTTTTACGCGTTAATGTTTTCTAAAACATCGTTTCTGCATCGACAAAACGTTTTACAACGCGTTCACAATTCGTCTAGAAATTTTTTTTAGAAATTTTGTTGACACGTCTAAGCGTGTTTGTTGTTTGCGTGCAGAAACAACACGTTTTAAGCATTATGTAAAGCAAACAATACGCTTTCCCTAACATGTTCACCAAAATTCATTTGGATGCGTTTGAGTCAAATAAAACGACTTTTTGAAGTGCAGTTGAGTTTTAACTAGTGACTTTTAAAGTCTTTATCATCTGAAATAAAAAACAGTATAAAAGAAGGTACAGTTAAATTCAAATCGAAGACTAAATTCAGTTGTAAGACAAACGACGGCCGGTCCATAACTGATAAATCACTTTTGAGTCGAAATCTAGTGGATTATAGGTTATGAACGATGCTGATTCCGAATACGACCATGGGGATTATGGACCATACTGATTCCGAATATGACTATGGGGATTCTCCATGGTCATACTCGGAATCAGCATGGTCCATAAACTATAATCCACTAGATTTCGACTCAAAAATGATTTATCAGTTAGGAACCTTCCCTCGTAAGTGCAAAAGTGAGTACTAAAACCTGATGAAGATTCAAAACGCCTGTAACTGTCGAGAATGTAATGGACTATAAACATCTGTGAGCTTTAAATGGATGTGTTATAGATCAACAATCTTTGTTGAAAGAGCTTCGTGGACTCTGGAAATTAGCTTACCCTTTTTTCAAGTATCCGATCCCTAGTTGAATTTCTGCTTAATTTTATTCACACAAAAGTATTAACTTATGACTTTCACATAATATGACTGGTCCACGTATACCGTATCATCTTCGAATTTCAACTATCTTGAAAATTAATACCGATTCTCAAGAAAACTGGAAAATCAACTTCGAATTTTAAGAACCTTGGGAATTTTCATATTTTTGGAAATTGTATGGCGATTTTCTGAATAAAATGAAAAGTCAATTTATAGAAAATAGACAATCGCGAATTTCTAAAACGCCAGAAAATCTACGAGCAATTTATAAATATCAGAAAAAGCCCCATAATTTTCAGATCGATTTTCTATAAACTGGAAATTGTTTGGAGTGTTCTTTCAAAAGCGAATAAAAACTGGAATAAAATATGTCTAGAAGAAGACTGGATTTTATCGAGTTTATCGTTCAAAAGCATTCACCTCTCGTTTTGTATTTTTTAGCCCAAAAAAACCGAGAAAAAAACCGTTTTAGAAGAGAAGCCGTTTTATTCCGTTCAAACTGGCGTTTGTGTTCGGTTTCTTTCTTCCTGAAAGAAACTCGATTCGGAAAAGAACGATGTATAACGCGTTTCATACATGAAACCGAAATAAAACGTGTTCTCATTATAGTTTGATTTAGTATACATCAACATGCCATTAAAAAACGGCAATGATTATACTCACACATTAAAAGTGAAAATATTCATTTATGTTTGTCTACTTTTTTTTAAAGATGTAGATAACGGTAGCCCATACACGAATGACTAATCAAAAATCATATTTCTAAATTAAAGATCAATCCGCAGGCGCCAATTGATTTAGGATTTTTTTACTATACAAAAGGTGAACTAGTGCCTTTCTTTTATCTTTTCTATTCGAATGATCAGTTTATGTTTTCGTTATTATTCAGTGAAAAAACTTTCATTGAAGAAGAGATTAAGATGTTACTGGAACGAGGGTATGCCGAAGGCACTTAAGTTTTAATTACTATTCCAATATATTATTAAACTGTCTCAATTAGAACATCTGATAATGTCTGGTAGTCGAACAGATTCCGTTGTACACAGTCCAAATCTTACTACCCCATTACAAGATGTTGTTTCCTCACAAACGTACGCTGATTATTTGTTAATATGGAAAAAACAATTGGAAAAATGGAAACATGATTTTGAAGAACGATATAATCGAATACAAACAGTGAAAGAGTCAATTGATAATTATGAATTATTGAAAGTCCTGGGTGAGGGTGGATTTGGTCGCGTTGTTCTAGCTCGACATAAACACACTCAACAGTTAACAGCGATTAAAATAATGAATAAAGAACGTGTTGTAAAAAAAAAACAAGTAATTTCCACTGATCAACAAAGAAAATAGGCAATTTCACTCAGGAATAGAATTCTAGGTTGCTCATGTTATCGAAGAGCGCAAAATATTTCAGTCAGTGCGATATTCATTTATTGTTGAACTTTTATCAGCATTTAAAGATAAAGCAAATTTATATCTTCAAATGGAAGTGTGTTACGGAGGAGAAATGTATCATCTACTATCTAAACAAAGACATTTTGATGAAACATTAACAAAATTTTATGTATCACAAGTTATATTAGCGTTTGAATATTTACACCACTTAGGTTGGTCAAGAACTTTTCTTCTCGATCTCGCTCATCAAATAATAGGATACGTCTCTCGTATAAGATATCTAGTTACATAAAGAAAACTTTTTTCAACACGTTTTTCTTATATATTTCGTCTAAATACGTGACATCTTCATTTTCTCGAACGATCATATTTTCAACTTAATCAGAGACAATAATATTTAGACGAAAAAGATGAAAAGAATTTTATTTTCAAAATTTTCGGCACACAATTCAATATTAAATGAAGTATTCTGTATAAGAATATGAAGAATACTTCATAAGAAAAAATGAATACACTCCCAAAATCGATTTCAATGAAAAGAGTGAAAGATGAGAACGATCGATGCTATTTCTTTACCGATATTTTTCTAATTCATTTTAGACATTATACATCGAGATCTTAAACCTGTAAGTCATTTCTCTTCATTTTCTATACTTTTTAATTATGATGTATTTAAATTGAGGACAACGTACTAATAGGCGAAGACGGTTATTGTAAATTGGCTGATTTTGGATTAGCCAAACGTGTTTCAGGTATAATGCGAATATTTACATTGGAGAATACAATCAATCCAATCCATTATAAAGATTTTATTTAGGTAGGACATTTTCTTTGTGTGGTACGCCGTTTTATTTGGCACCTGAAATACTTGGTCAGAAAGGGTATGGATAATTTCTTTCATTTTATCCTTTACATGTATTTTTTTTATCAAAACAGATATGGAAAAGCAGCAGAATATTGGGCAATGGTGAGCTTATTTTTTTTAAACTTATTTCTCTATTTCTTTCTATCTTTGTATTTTTTTGAAGGGAGTTTTTACCTATGAATTACTTGCTGGTATTCCACCATTTTATTCTGAGAATGAAATGGAGATGTATGCAAAGATTATGTCATGCCGATTTGAAATGCCAACTCATTTTTCTCTACATGTGAAGGAATTTATCTCAGCATTATTAGAAGTCGACTTATCTAAACGCATTGGAAATCTACATAGAGGATTTGACGATATCAAAACACATGCATGGTTTCGAAAAATTCAATGGGAAAAAGTGCATGAAAAAGCCTACAAACCTCCATGGCTACCTCCACTAGGACAAAAAGAAGAATTTAAAACGATGATCAAAATTCGAGATATTCCTCTGGATACATCGTTAGTAGATTTACATACCGAAACATTTCAATTATTTTGATAGTACCAGGAGTCAAATTGAAAAATGCTGTATATTATCGTTCGATCATTCTTTGTACTAACGAACCAAAGTATGTATATTAGGATTTTCGATAAAATTAAATAGTCTAATTCGAATGTGTAGTTATTCTACAACACCATTTTAAAAAATTATCAATATACGATTTAAGATATAGACAAGATATTAAGTTACATCTATGGAATAAACTCATTATCTCGTTTTTTTAATGTTTAGTCATGTAAAACTATTTTGTATATGGAAAACAACAGCAAACATTTAGCCAATTAATTTTAGCTATTAAAGTAGAGGAATATATCTGAAATTTTTTCCATTACTTGTCTCCGCTAAAAAGCCATTAAAAAAAATCATTTGCATAGAATCTAAGATTTGAGACTTTGTAAAATGAACGTAAATATTTGAAGCAAAAGAGGCATCGAGATCAATTATCTCGTTATCCTTTCATGAAAATTCACTTATTTTAACGTATAAAATAATACAGAAATAACAAACTTTTGTTTAAGAAATTGTACAATATATCACAGAATAAACAAATAGAAGAATTAAATAACACTTAACAATCCAAAATCTACCAACTGTTTTATTTTTGTTTGTAACTTGGCATCAGCAGTTCGTAATAGCCTACAAAGATAAACAATTAAGACTTTCTGAACTATACTGATGTCATATTAAATGAACTCAATGAATAGCTTGGAGGAGGAAACCATCTCACATTACTATTGTTCATCTCTCACGTCAATGTATGGGATAGATAATATATCTCATCAAAAATAATAACTATTTTACTCACCATTGCGCCTTGTCCGGTTCTTCTCGTAATGTTTTCATCAGGCTCACAACATCTGGATCAAGTAGTAATTTTCGTACTTGTTCGTTTTCAAGTAGTTTATTTACTTCTGGATCAGCTAACGGTGGTTTTGTCTCTTTCCTTTTTATGATATTAAATTGACTTGACGTTTTCACAACATCTTGTTCGGGAGACAAGTCATCATTTGTGGGTAATGATGTGAAATGACTTCCTAAAAATCAACAGAAACGAAGTAAATACAAGGTTTAAGTAGCGTTATTTTCCAATGTCTATTACCCACCTAGTACTTTTGCCATTCTTTGAAAAAATTCCATAACATCTTTATTTGATCCATATCGTTTTAATGCTTCTTCTGGTTTTTTTTGAAACAAATTTATAGCTTCCATGAAATATGGCTCATTAAATCGTTTTTCCAAAAAGGCATCTTGCTGTATTTGATCTAATAAATCTTCGGTCAACCAATTTCCTGTAAGAAATTAATTAGTAGTACGAGATATATCTTGTAAAATGATACAAACCGTTAGCTAGTTGGTCCTTTTTTAAGGCTTGTTGAACTTCATCGAACACTCTAAAATCTTTTTTGTTTTCCTTCGTTTTAGTAATTACGTCAAGTTTATTAGTTGTTAACGGTGGTTTCGTTTTTTCGGTTGTTGAAGATAAAAATCCTTTTTTCAAACCACCAAAACAGCCGTTATCTATATCTTTAAAAAAAAGTAGACAAACATAAATGAATATTTTCACTTTTAATGTGTGAGTATAATCATTGCCGTTTTTTAATGGCATGTTGATGTATACTAAATCAAACTATAATGAGAACACGTTTTTTTTCGGTTTCATGTATGAAACGCATTATACATCGTTCTTTTCCGAGTCGAGTTTCTTTCAGGAAGAAAGAAACCGAACACAAACGCCAGTTTGAACGGAATAAAACGGCTTCTCTTCTAAAACGGTTTTTTTCTCGGTTTTTTGGGTTAAAAAGTATAAAACGAGAGGTGAATGCTTTTGAACGATAAACTCGATAAAATCCAGTCTTCTTCTAGACATATTTTATTCCAGTTTTTATTCGCTTTTGAAAGAACACTCCAAACAACTTTTCATTATTGTTTGATACAAATGTGATGTATCGATCTCTTTCTCGATAAGAAATAAAATTAAATATGTTTTACATTTCAAAACGCGATCAGTTGGAACAGTAAAATTAGTTATCTTTTATTTCGTTTCAAAGTCAAGATCGCAGATCCTTCCATTTTTTATTAGGAACACTTTCGTTTCCATTTTTTACTCCGAGCATTGTTTTTATCGTTTCAAAGTATAGGTTTGCCGGCTCCCAGCCAGGAAGCTCTCATTGCCTGCTATTACACTCCTCAACAGTTGAGAACTAAATATTTTCCTCGACACCAAAAACCTTAAACCTATACTATAAGAAAGAGAAGATCGAGTTTTATCAGGATAAGTACTATTCGCCCGTATTGGACATTCACCGGTGTTTACCGATTGCATTTCCGTGTTTTTTCATAAAAAGCTTTTGTGATGCATAATAGTCTTCCACAATTCTTTTCACAGTCACAATATGACAGCACTTTTCGTTTTGATTTATTGGTTGGATAAAAGACGTTTACTAAACGACCATTACTGGTACCAATATCGGTTAATACCGATTTATGGCTCTATGTTAAGAAGCGCTTGGGACAAAAAGAAAAGAGATGAAAAGTTTCATCATATCTTATTCTGTAGAAAAATGTAAAAAATTAAGTCCTCAGAAAAGTTTAATATCTTGTACTTTGTAACCAATCTCCTTAAGTAAAAGGATAAAATACAGAGATAAATGCCAGTGCATGCCTACTGCGTTCTTTTACTTGTGCAATAAGACATAAAAACGAACGCATCCAGATATTAAAAATGGACTTTTTATCATACGATAGAACCGGAAAAAAACATGCTTTCATTTTAGTCAGATTTAGTATGCACTAACATTTAGTTGAAAAACGGTAATAGATAGTATCTTACTAGGTTTTGTAGGATTATCTGTTACTGTTTTTGTTAACGAAGTAGACGATTTTGTTACTGTTGTTTCATTTGATGGAGGTTTCTCTGGTAGATTAGGAATATCTTCCAATGGTGGGATATCTAAAAGAAAAAAATTCATAAAAGTTTTGTTGATTTTGAAAGTTATTGTTGAAACTCACCATTTTCATCGAACATTGTATTCATTTTAATTAGAAAAAACTAAATTTTTAAATCTAGAGCAACTAATCAACTGATTATTCTATCGCATACATATGCAACTACGATCCGGCATAAACCAAAAGTATACGATTTATTCGGTACAAGACTTAGATGATGATATGTCATTAATAATATCTTGTTTCTAATAAATTTGATGGATAATAAATTCACTTCCTTGGAATGATAAACTCAACTAACAACAATTTTTATTCGCAGGTATATATATATTCACGACATTTTTCTCATCAAGCAGAAGTAGATAACATGATCGTACAAAAAAAAGAACATGAAATATCGTAACGGGTACGGCAGAGGAAATTGCCGGTTTTTGATAGGCTTTTTTCTCAAATTAGACTCGACCAGAAGGTTTGGTTCTGATGCTAAAAGATAGAGAATTTTGTGTAGATTTTATTGATATGTTCT